CTTGACTCCCAGCCCCTGGCCGGGGTGATCCTTGACTCCCAGCCCCTGGCCGGGGTGATCCTTGACTCCCAGCCCCTGGCCGGGGTGATCCTTGAGTCAGTGAGTCCTTCCCGGTAAGCGTTTCCAGACTTCTCTGTCCACTGTCTGAGGAGCTTCCTGTGCGTGTCACTGTTGACCGTGGACTTGTTTGAACCTGCCACCCCTTCTCATGCTCACATGGCCCAGACATGGTCGCCACGAGCTCTCTATGTTGCCCGCTTGGGCCTTACAATGCCTCCCAAGTCCTGCAGGTTCATTTCCTGCATCCTGGCACAAGGTGATGCCCCAGACAGCTTTGTACATTCTCTGCCCCAGAACGGTGGCCCTGAGGACTTTGCAGCGTGTGTTGTTGTGTACCACCCAGAGGCTTCAGAGGCCATAAAGCCCACAGCTGGCGGCCGTCTGGCTACACAGCTCGCTGCCCCAGAGCCCAGGGCTCCCTCTGGTCGATCTCTAAGATGTGGGCACAGTCTCCAGGTGTCTGTGGGGGGTGAGCCCGAGCGGGACGCGGTGGGGGGATGTGAGGGGGTCTGACTCGGTCTAACGCTGGGTGGTGCATGTGGAGGCAGAATTCCTGTGGGCACATCGCTGGGCACTTGGAGGCTAACCTCCTGGCGGTGAGGGGCTGAGCCAGAGGGCTTCCATCTGAGAGCTGTGGCCTCCAAGGACTCCGAGGAGAGCAGGGCAGGCTGGACTGGGAGATGTTCTGGAGGTGGGCGCCCAACAGCCAGCCTAGGCATGGGAGGTGCGCTGGAGGTGGCCCCGAGGGCCCCTGATAGCTGGCCTCCCTGTGGGAGGTGCCCTGGAGGTGGCTCAGAGGACCCCCCCAAGCCGGCCCCATTGTGGGAGGTGCCCCGAGGGCCCCCGCCGGCCTGACTGGCTGCCCGCCCGCCCGCAGGTGTTCCACTACCTGAGCATCGCCATCCTGACCTTCTTTATGATGGAGATCTTCTTCAAGATCTTTGTCTTCCGCCTGGAGTTCTTCCACCACAAGTTTGAGATCCTGGACGCCGTCGTGGTGGTGGTGTCCTTCGTCCTGGACATCGTCCTTCTGTTCCGGGAGCATGAGTTCGAGGCCCTCGGCCTGCTGATCCTGCTGCGGCTGTGGCGGGTGGCCCGCATCATCAACGGTGAGTCTGCCGGGCGCGGGCAGCAGGGCCGTGTGACACCCCCCCAGGCGTCAGCAGAAAGTGACGTGGCCGAGTGCGGCCTGTGACCGCCACCACTGGTCACACAGTGTGACCCTGACATGTGCTCCGAGAGGAGTGGCCTTCCCTCAGGGAACATCCTAAACACTGACCCTGGGTGGGCATATCTGATAGAATGCCTCTAGCCACCCGCCCTGAGGGACGTCTGTCCCTCCGTCTGTCCACAAGCCCAGAGCCTGGAGAAGTTCACTCCACACGCGGCGGTGGAGCACTTATTTTGGGAGGAAAGAACTCCCACTGGCTGGCCATGGAGCCCTGGTCCTGGAGAAACCCTGGACGAGCTGGAGGGCTTTCCTCCTGGTAGAAATCCTGACCCCCACAGTGCTGCGAGCCAGTGCCGAGCCTGCAGACCCCCCACCAGACAGCCTGATAGGACACCCTGCCAGGCAGAGCAGAACTGCCCGCGGGGTTTATAATGCTGGACAGCCTTAGACAAGGAGGCCACCTCTCTCTCTTAGGTGTGGCCAGCGGACTCAAACCACTCATCTTCTGGTCAACAAGCAGTGTTCTAACCACCATGCCACAAGGGCTCCTTTCCACCAGCCTCACGAGTTTGGACTTGGAGTTAGGGTCAAGTCTTGGGATTAGGGTTAGGCTTGGGGTTAGGGTTAAGTCTTGGGATTAGGGTTAAGTTTGGGCTAGAGGTTAGGGTTGGGCTTGGGGTTAAGCTTGGGATTGGCCCTGCTGGCTTTAGGATTCAGGCCCCAGAAGGCTGACCTAAGAATTGAATAAAGTCTACGAAGAACACCCATCTGGTCAGTGTTGGGGAAACGAAGGCAGCCTTCCAGTTCCTGCTAAAGATGTCTTTAATGACTGGACATCTCAGTCATTACGCAAACACTCTGCAAGGTGGTGTACAGCCGAGATCATCTCTACACCTGCCAGTAACCTGGCCCCTCCCTCCCTCACCACCCTCATAATCCGTGGGATTTGTGACCCCACACTCCATGGGATTTGTCCAAGTTCTCTGTCTATGTCCACAGACTAAGGACTGGGCTGCTTTACCTCATGGGGTCCCCTGAGCAGCGGCAGCTGGGGAGCCGGCTGGGCACCCCACGTGGAGGATGATGACACCTGGCTGCAGAGTAAAGGCAGAGTCCTGTGAAGGCAGTGTCCTTACTGCATGGGCACCTGGGAGTCGCCAGCAAGGGGAAGGGATGCCTCACCTGACCACTGGCCCTGGTGGTGGAGGCGCTGAGCTGAGAAGTGGGGACCTGTGTGGGGCTGGGGTGCCTGCCTGCGCTCTGGGCTCTGAGCAGAGCTCCCAGCTGCCAGCATGAATCATTCATTCTGAGCAGAGTCCTCCTTGCCCCCGGTGATCCAGCATCTCTAAGGAGATCCCACGTCCGAGGGCTGGAGAGGGCCAGTTCATAACTGAGTTCAGAGGGAACACCTGGCCTGCCTCCTCGTACTCAAAGTAACCCGTCAGTGGATAGATGGACCTGGGCAGCATGCCAGCCTCCGGGCTTTTTATTATTCCTGTGGAATTAATAATGTGGGATTATTACAGGGTCCCTGAGGCCTTCATTTCTTTCCAGGGATCATTATTTCAGTTAAGACCCGGTCAGAACGGCAACTCCTCCGGCTGAAACAGATGAACATACAACTGGCCGCCAAGATCCAGCACCTGGAGTTCAGCTGCTCTGAGAAGGTAAGGGCGGCCGCCTCCCTGGAGAAGGGCCAGGTGCCCGTGCCAGTGTCCCTGTCACCGCTGCCCCGCGTCACTGCTTGGCCATGGTCTTCTTCAGGGACCGGACCTGCTGTCGTTCACTCGTCTCCATGAAGGCCACCTCTCTGCTGAGATTCAAACAGAAGGTAAAACTGACGTTTGTCTGCTTCTGTACCAACAGGAACAAGAAATCGAAAGGCTCAACAAACTGTTGAAACAGCACGGCCTCCTTGGGGAGGTGAACTAGCCAGCTGCTGCTTCACCCCGACACGAGCCTGCCTGGGCCGGGCCGGGCGAGACAAGGACAGCAGGCTTTGCTCGGCACGGGGGAGGCTGGCCAGATGCTGCGACCGCTCCCGTCCAGCGTGACCCACTGTGGACACTCTCTCGGAAGGCGGCCTTCCTCACTGTATAATAAATGCACCCAGGGCTGCATTTTCCCCTCGCCCACATTGACTGCTGCTGGAAGGTGCACACCAGTGTGGGTGGCCCCAGCTGTGGAAACTGAATGGCCTCAGGTCTGCAAGCTGCCACCCTCTGAGGGCCTGCACCACATTCACAACACACGTTCTGAGAAAGAAAGAAAGAAAGAAAGAAAGGAACATGGAAAAGCCAGGCCCCCTCCCATTCGAGAAAAGCCCCCGGCGCTTTCTGGCTGCTGTGGGCAGTACTCCCCCCAGCAGCTGAGTGGGGAAAGGTCCCTGGCCCCCACAGCTGCACCCCACCTCGAGCTGCTCCTCCACTCCTGCCGCCCACGACTGTACAATTAATGTAGAAATAAACTGGCGCTGTCGCTCGGACCCTCCCCCTGTATTCTTTGCAACCTCAGCTGCCTGGGACTGCGGGGTGGCACCAGGCCGGCCCACCACGTCTCCCCGGAACAGCAATGGCAATCAGAGCCCAGGCCACCCTGTAATTAATGTGATGCTGGGCCCGCAGGCTGTGCTCTGCTTGCACCATTTCAGGCAGGAGGTGGTTATTCTTTTAATCATAGAGAGGGAGCCTGAAAAAGAACAAAGGAACAGCTTCCGAATAGCTCCTACTCCACAGTGGGACAGGTGAGCTGGCGATGGGCAGGTGAGCTGGCAGTGGGGCAGGTGAGCTGGCGGTGGGCAGGTGAGCTGGTGGGGCCTGGACCCCATGCTCCCCGAGGCTGCTGCCCTCCCTCCCCTCCCCAAGCCAATCTGGTTTCTTTATTTGAGCTCCGTGTTGGGAATGCTGACAGGGACCCAGACCAGATGTTTCCGCATTCTCCACTCAAACCAAATAGACAAACCCTGTCCCCAAAAGGAGGGCAGGGCATGGAGTGAGATGTGTGTGTGGTGTCCAGGAGGGGCCCTGCCGTCCACAGCAACCCGCAGACAGACTGCAGTGGCCTTGAGGACCCCTGAGGCTGGAAATCCTCACGGAAGGTGACAGCTTTTCTTCACGAGCTGGACTCAAACCACTGGCCGGAAGGAAGCATCTTCGGTTAACAACTTACGTCAAACAAATGGGAAGAAGAAGTTGAAGGGCAGCCTGGCGTTGATGGTTGGCCGGGCTCTGAAACCCGCCTCTGCAGGTGCAGACACGTCCACAAACGTCACCGCAGAGGACAGAACGATCGTCCTTTGACTTCCTGCGCGGGCCTGCGAGCAGGGTGGGAGCAGGGTGGGAGCGAGGTGAGTCCTGCCCTTCCACCAGGAACAGAGGTGCCAGGGCGCCCGCGCGCCCCAACCGGCCACCATCGGCCTCGGAACCCGGCACGCGCACTCCAGCCCCCAGCAGCTCTGGATGAGAGAGGCGCTTTTCCTCAGCTCGCCAGCATCAACCACAACTTAAGTTGCACAAGCTTTTTCGGTCAGACTTTAAGCAGAATGCTAGTATAATCACTGCCAGGGGCGCTTCCCCTCACTGACAGGGACCGGTCACTGTTCCCATTAGTAACCCTCTCCTCAAAGGGAGGGCGGGCGGGCCTGTGGGAGGCTTCTCCTGGACTGAGGGCAGGCCCACCTGGGGAAGCGAGGAGGAGATGAGCTTTGCAGTCACGTTGACGATTTTAGCCTGTGGGTTCACCAGGGATCCGTATTTTGTCCACTTCACTTCGATCGCCAAAGCCACTGGGACCTGGCACCCGTCCTGTGAAGGGACATCTTTGGGGTGAGCACAAGTCAGCGGGAGGTCAACTTCACCTGCAGTGCTGACTATCAAGTGCCTTGAGCATCACAGTCTTCTGCCCAAGAGAACAGTGCAGGAACGTGGCCGCAGAGCTGCCCAGCGCCCCAGCCTTCTACGCCCGAGGGCTGAGGCTGTACACAAACCTACACTCGGGGCTCCAGGGGCACAGAGGCTAAGGAGTGTGACCTGGAACCTGAAGGCCAGCAAGTGGGACTCACCAGCCACCCTGTGGAGAAGGATGAAGGGCGGCTTCCCCAAGGCCTCAGAAGCCTGACTGGCAAGGTCCAGTCGGCCTGCAGGGCCAGTGAGCTGCAGGGCAGCAGGTGCAGCTAAGGAAGCTGGGATCTGTGGCCATCCCTAATCCCACCTGTGGACGCTGTGGGGACCCTTAACTAACATCAGAAGGGACTGTCCTGTGGGTTCCATTGGTTTTAGGGGAGAGAATGGCACCTGAGAAGGAGGGATGGCATTCCTGACAGGCTCTGCCCAGGTCACACGCCACATTAAAGTGCACTTGGGGGAAATGCAAGCACTTGCCGTCCAGGGGCCTCATCTCAGCAGCTGGCAGTGAAGCCACGTGCAGGTGTGCAGGGGTGTGTGCGTGCCACTGGAGAACTAGGGTCTCCACCTGGAGCAGGTGGGAGAAACCGCTCCTTCTGTGACACGGAGCCCACTCAGCAGCTCGCCCATCGTCATCTGACCTGAGCAGAGGCAGCGGTCTAGCTGCCCGGGTCAGGCCTCAGGGGTCAGGCCTCAGGGGCCAGGCCCGGGCATGTGCACACGGCCTTCCAGACCTGTCCACAGCTGCCTCTCCTGCAGCCTTGCCCCCCTCCTCCTGAGGGGCAGGACGCACTAATGTGTCCACCCCTGGGAACACGGAGGTGGAGGACTGAGGCCCAGCAGGGGAGCAGCTGCCCGGGAATCCACCACCGGGGCTGCGTGGGGAGGGCAGGGCAGTGCCCGAGGCATCCTCACCCCCATTATCCCCGAGCTATAAATATGCTAAGCGGCTGATGGGCGCCTGAAGGAACTGTGCCAGGGAAAGCTGGGCAATTAGAGGGCTGGGGAGGCACGGCTCTGCAGGAAGACAAAAACGGGGGGGGGGGGCTGTCCTCGCGACAGGAACCTGAGAGCAGGATGTCATGTTCCAGCACCGCCCCAGGGCCTCTCACCTGAATGTGCTCGGTGTGGGCTGTCCTGGGAGGGCAGCGGGAGGGGTGTGGGCCACCCTGGGAGGGCAGCGGGAGGGGAAAGCTGCGCGGAGGAGAGGATTCGCCAGCTTTCTGCCCACCACTGTCCCCCTCCCAGGAACAGCCTCTCCTAGCAACGTGCCCTAAGCATTTCGAGGAGACTTTGTCATCTTTGCCTCCAAGCACTCTGGCTGCACTCTCACCAGATGGAGTGACAGCAGCAATGGCACGGGGGGTGGGGTGGGGAGGTGGAGATTGCATGGCGGTCCCAGGAGAGGAGAGGGTCGCTAGGAGTCATACTCGACTCCACGGCACCTAGCAGTCCCAGAGTGCCTTTTAGGGCCCCTGTACTCCCACCAGTGATGACAATTAACGGAGAGACCACTCAGCACCATGCCAAGGGAACCTCGTTAACACTCAGCCAGTGCCCGAAACTGGGCACACCTGTCAGTCATCCCACGACACAGGAAGAAAGGAAGGCCCACTGCTACCGAGGGGCCCTCTCAGTGTTCAAGGTGAAGGTCAATCTGCTAACCCCCACCCAGGGGTGTAACACTGACAGACCGCCCTCCTGAGCTGATTCTGGTGCCCCTAACTGGGCAGGGGGTGGGAGGTCCAAGAAATGCCAGCCCAGGACTCCACTTGCCCCTTACCTTGGCGGGAGATGACTGTGTGAGGAAGTGGACAGGCACCCAGTCCAGCACATCCTGGGCCCGGGAGTTGCCGAAAGGAGCCACATAGTCTGGGAAGCCCTGGCCTCTGAGCAGACGCGTCACCGTCTGCCTGGTGAGCTGACATGGGACAGCGCTGTTCAGCCTCGGGAGAAAAAGGGGTCAGTGAGTGAGGGATGCCCTGAGCCTCAGGAGAAGGGGTGAGTGAGGGGGGCCCTGAGCCGTGAGAGAAGAGTTAGTGAGTGAGGGGTGCTCTGAGCCGTGACCGCAGTCCTTGTACTTTGCGTCCCTGCTGAGCATAGCTGGACAGCAGCTAGTGTTTGGGACTGCAGAATCCTGGTGGCTGGCCCCAGAGAGGAGGTCAAGACAATGTTTTCCACATGGTGTTCCACTAAGAGGCTCTGTGCTAAGCTCCTTGGGCCAAGCTGGGACCCACTGCAAACCCCAGTTCTCTCCCAAAGCAGTGAGAGGCCCTGACAAGTCCTGGAGGACTGGGGGTTCTGTTAGAATGTGGTGTGTCCTGAACACTGTATACAGACCCTCCTGACACATGTGAGACGGGACCCAGACTCTGCCCTGGCGACAAAGGGCAATGTGGGGACAGGACCAGCCGGCTTTCATACAAGCCACAGACAGCTGTCTGCCTTGACAGATCGTGCACATGTCTGATGACAAGAAAAAATCAGTTAAGCACAGAGGTGACAGCTTGTGGCATTGTGCTGTGAATATTATCATTCAGAAATACAGGAAGGCCTTGAGGAACATAGCTGTGCTGTGACCTCAAGTGTTAGGGCTTTAAACTTGACACTGAGTCTAGCAGTCTCTCTTCCACCATCATTAACAGGCAAAGAATAAGAAAATTTGTTGTAACAGTTTTCCTTGGAATACTGACGGATGATTAGCTATTGAAAGTTAAAGTGAGGCAATGGAAAGCCACATGGATTCCAGGTGCCGCCGTGAGGACTACTGCTTACGGGTCACGGCTGGCTGCTCCTGCCTGGCTTGTCCAGGGGCTTCCCTGCAGAGCAGAGGCCCCACGACACGACAGCCCGGCAGGACGCTCGCTTTTCAGATCAGCACAAACGAGTTCAGACAGACATGCTGCCCACTTACCGCAGCTTACAGCCAGACTGCAGGTTGTAGCCGAATAATACCGGGGTCCGGATCCCCTCGGAGGCTAAGCAGTCCTGCTCGGCTGTGCTGCGAAGCACTGTGAACCGTCCGTATCTGTTTGCTGTCTGGATGATGGCAGATATTCCCAGGAGTCAAGGGACAATCACAGCCTCAGAGGGTTCTCGGCTAAAGGGAGTCACTAACGTGACATGAGACAGAAATGAGACCAAACAGCCCTGCCCTGCAGATTCCTGATGGTCACCACTCCAGAGAGGACAAAGATCAAGTTACAGCTGTTTTCTGTAAAAATCAGTAGATCCTAAGAAGAAAACTCCTCAGAAACTTCAAAAGTAACTAAAATTCCCCAAAACCCCTACATTTTCTTAGTTCCCTTTAAATGTGACGTTAAATACACCCAGGGGTCTGTCACCTTTTCTGTCTTTTCAACCTTCGTTATAAACCTCGCCAGCCTGTGCCTCTCCCCAGATGCACAGCTGACCCTGACCACACCGGTAGGTAACCCTGAGGAAGCTCTGCTCAGGCCTGGCCTCCAGCCCCCAGGCTCGGTCAACCCGAGGACCCTCAGCAGGAAAAAGAAGGCCCCACGCAGGACGATGGGGACACCACAGCTCAAAGGATACCCCTTCTGAGGCTGAAAGCCGGCCAGCAGCGGGAGCCCCACGACGTAGCCTGGGCTTCCGCTGAGATGAACGGGCCGCGTGTCCTGCTGGAAGACAAGGCAGAAATGCTCCTGAATAATGCTCGTTTCCTAAGGACACGCACGGCAGGGGGAAGGCAATGCTTTGCATATAAAATCTGCAATTACGACCAATAAAATAATTCCCCCCACACTCAGAGCTATAAATACATCCTTGAATGTGGGCGCTCCTTGTGCTGTAAAAAGAACAAGGAACTGTCCCCAAACGGAAAGGGATGCCGGGGCTCCGTAACATCCCCAGCACCCGAGCCACACCAGCACGAGGGCGGGACGCCGGCCACCTGTAAGTGGAGACAGGTTTTCAACTTCTGCTTGAATGTTACAATGAATTATCAGTGCAAAGCTGGCCAACTTACTTGAATAAAAAGAATCTCGAACTTTTGCTGGATCGGAAGGCCTCCGCGGCTGACTGTCCCCAGGAGGAGGGCGAGCCCAGCCTTTGTCACTTCGCCAGCGTCTGTGTATGTGAGGCTGTATTTGACCTGAAACCAAGCACCAAACCCAGTGCCCTCCATGAGTCTCGCTCACGGGACCTTCCATGGGCTCGTCAAGGCAGTGAACCCCTGGGAGCAGGCAGGCCACCTTGGCTCTCTCCTGCAGAGCCTAACATGACCCACCTGCCACCAACAGGGCTCCAACAAGTTCTGCTTTCCTCCCAGTTCATCAGCTGTATTAACACTGAAGATAAAATGTGCTCCGTAGACAGATCCTTGCCGACTGTGCACACATTTGAGCTTCTCTTTCTTGACCAGTCAAGAAAGTCTAAGCTGACGGCCAGAGGGATCCAGGCCTCTGAGACCCGTATTATATGATCCAAGCCACTGGCCCCAGAGGGACATGATTAGCCTCTCTCTGCAAGAGAGAATGTGTTCACACAACCACGTGGCACAGTCTTGCAAGGTGCCAGAAGCATGAGGGAGAAAAACAATTGTTCTCGAGACTTTTGAGGAAGCATCGTTTGATGAGAAAACATAAAGGCAGGCAGGAGGCCATACCGGGAAAGGAGACTCTGAAAGTAAGGTCTGTGTCCCCTTCCGAGGAGTGCTGTCACCCCGTCAGGACACCACAGCTCACCAGGACACTACAGCCCGTGGGCCTCACAGAGGAGTCCTCTGAGCCCTGCTGGGTGCTCACCTCTAGAACGACGTTGGTGCAGACGTCAAGACCCCCCACACTGACAAAGGCTGGCTGCAGGTCAACCTGCGTGTCACGAAGTTGGGTTGAGGTTTGGTTCAGAGACCGGACAACAATGGACTGAATGATGACAGGAACCTGCAACGTGGAGAACCTGCATTATGAAGTGTCACAACACAGCTGAACAATGACAACAGACTCAAATGTCCATCAGGTGGGGAAAGTGACTGAGACAACGGTAACCCTCTAAGGCCAGGGTGGGGTGAGGTGTGTGCGTGTGTGAAGGTGAGGCAGTCTGGAGACATTAATCCCCTAAGGCCGTGGCTAACAGAGAGGCAGTCTGGAGGACATTAAACCTCTCTTTGCTCGGAGCTGGGATGTACTGGACAGTGGGAGGTTTTTCTGGCTAGTTCAATGCTATTAAAGTGAATTTCTTTTATGGCTGTTGCCTGCAAAGGGTCAGAGTAGTACAAGAACCGCTAAAGAGAACTGGACTAGTGGGTCCGCAAGAGGAACGTGATGTTTGCTCTATGTTCCGGCTCCCAGGCCCGGGCCTCCTTATATCCACACAGACCTGAAGAGTGGCCTGACAGATCCACGATGAGGGCGTGGCTTCCGACCACAGCCTGGCAAAGCCTGGGTCGGGGGGCAGGCCTGTGGACAGAGCCCACCGAGCACGTCTGTGCAGTCTACCCTGGAGTGACCCAGCGTTCCTGAGCGACCAGGACACCAGGGGGCTCCCTATGAGCTGACACAGCCAGGCGGAACCCTCAGAGTGCCCACAGGAGGCTGTCCGCGCAGACAGTTCCCTACTTCACCATGTTCGGTTTCTGGAAAATGTTTTCATTATTGGAAAGAATGGCAAATGCTAAGAGAGTGCCAAAATGTATTCCCTTCAAATGGGCCTCTAGTCGTAAACACGTTCATTTCAAAGGGCTCAGATAGAAGACAGAGACAGTTTATTATTAAGCATATATAGTTTTCTTGAAATTCTTCTCTGTCAGCCAGTTCTTTTTGGTACTATGACTCTTCCATCTTCTTGTAATACTTCCTGGATCATTCAATATTCTACCCATAGCATCCCTAATATTGTAACTTGTGGCTTGAATTTGTTCTTTAGCTCCTTCAGCTGCAGAAGGTCAAGGACTGTAGATTGACGCTCAGGATGAAGAAGATAAAGATTCTCACCACCAGGCCAACCGAAAGCATCACGATAGAGAAAAGATTGAGGTTGTTAACAATTACAGTTTGCTCGGCTCCACAATCAACACTCTTGGCACCAGCAGTGAGGAAATAAAAAGATAAGATGCACTGGTAAAATCTGCTGTCAGGGACCTCTCCAGATTACTAAGAAGCAACGATGTCAGTCTAGAGACTAAGGTGTGCCTGATCCAGGCCATGATCTTTGCAATTTCTTGCTATGCATCAGAGAGCTGGACAATGACTGAGGATGACAGAAGAATCGATGCCTTTGAGTTGTGCTGGAGAAAAGTCTTGAACATACCGTGGACCACCAAAAGAATAAACAGATCTGTCTTGGAGAGGGTGAAACCAAGATTCTCCTTGGAGGCTAGGATCTTGAAGCTCCATCTCACATACTTTGGGCACATGACCAGGAGAGACCAGTTCTTAGAGAAGGACATCATGCTTGGAAGGGTAGAGGGACAGCACAAGAGAGGAAGACCCCACATGTGATGGACTAATACAGTAACTGGGGCAATGGGCTTAGGTGTGTCAGAGGCCGTGAGACTGGCCCAGGACAGGGAGGCTTCAGAGCTGCTGTGCATAGGTTTGCTATGGGTCGCAGGAGACTTGACAGCACAAAATAACAATTATTAAGCATTTTCGTTTTGATAAGGAAACAACTCTTACCTTTATTGTTGAAGAAGGCACCTAGACAAAAAGAAACCACAACAAATTTTATGTACCACAAAGACAAGTATCTGGATGTTTTTCCCGACCACCAATCTGCTTCTTGAACACTACCTCCCTCCACTTCCTGTCCCCCTACCTTCTCCAGCCTCACTTCTCAAATCTCAAAAGATACCCGATGGGAAGCAGTGGGCAAAGGGTGCAGACAGGCTTGGGGTGACCTCTGCTGAGGGAGGAGGCTGTGCCTGAATGCTTGAGGGACCTCTTGGGGGACAACTGGGAGAAGGCGGACTAGCTGGAAGAGGCACAACTGGCTGGCTGGCCGGCTGACACGGGGAGTGAGACAGAGACAGGAAGGGAGGAGGAGGGCAGCAAGGTCCAGTTTGATGGTGAGAGTCCAAGTCCAGATGCGCAGTGGTGCCAGGGCCGCCAGCCATCACGAGAAAGCAAACCAAAGAGGGCTTTTCACAATAGTCATGACTGGATCTTAATCACAGAAACACGTCCCCATCCCTCTAAGAGGCCAGGCCTCCCACATTTATCCGTTTAGAGCAGGGGTGCTTGCCTGCAGGGAGGGGGCCCCCTCCTCTCCTTCCCAGCGATCCATGTCTAGCCCACCCCAGCTGCCTTGCTCATCTACCAAGCAAACAATGTCTGTTTCTGGGCTGCCTTTGAGAGGGAGATCCTTGTGGTGCTAGGAAGCTTAGTTGTTTGGCATGGACATTAAAATGCTTCTAGAATTGAAATGCTTCTATAATTCCTTGTTATTTGTTAAAACTTATTTTTATACAGACATAGATTTATTGGCCACCATAGAAATGAACGTAAGCCAAGCAGGTACCAAGTCCATAAGAACAATTATTTCACTGAAAACTCAATAAGCACTGATTCCAGAGCCTTGGAGTGATTTAATCTTGGGGTCAGCCATCTGCTGAAATGATATGCTCTACCTGGCCTATTTCTAAGAGGCACCAAGAACAGAAGTTATACCTATGAAACAAGTACAAAATAATGCTTACTTTCAAAATGTCAGAGCTGTTGTAGGAAGCTATTTGAAGGGCTTTGATTTCTTCACACTGTTCCAAGTCTATCCTTCTGGTGCATTTAACAGCTTGGTTCACCAGGAACGCTGGAAGTCGTAACGTTCCCAGGAGGTGGACAATACACAACGGAAAGCAGTTAGGACAGCACAGGGGTGAAACACCAAGGTTATAATCCTATAATCCAAGTTAACCGCAAAATGGACCATAACGCTGTTGCACAATACATTTAGAATAGAATCTTAACATTTTTCCCAAAGAGTTTAAAGGGTTTAAATTTCTGCTCCCAGCAGCCAAGCACATCAATCATTTGCATTACCCAAGTTCTCTAACAGAGAAAAGGGAGCCATGTTTGGAGAACTCTGCACATACCAACTTAACTGGCTCATAAGCCAAGTAAATAATAGGAGAAAAGGCCAGAAAGGCAATTCATTGGGGATGACAACAAAACAACCCATTCCTATTGAGTTGGAACTGATTCTCCAGGGGGTTTTAAAAGGTTATAAACCACACAGAAGAAGATTGTCCATCTTTCTCCCTTGGAGCCACTGGTGGATTCAAACTATCTGCCTTTGGGTTGGCAGTGCAACTCCCTACCCATTAGTTCACTAGAAACATTATCTTAATGTCAGGCTGGTCCTAAAAGTCGTCATCCTAATACTATGCCAGCTAACAGTGCAGTACTGCCACCAGCACCTGCCTTTATTAATAAAAGATGGTCATTTTATAAAAAATAAATAAATAAATAAATAAATAAATTTCTGCTCCCCAGAGGCAAGCAACATATAGCTGCTTATCTATCCCTCTGGAAAAGCTTCTCAAATAAAAGCAAATCAGCGTGTGTTGTATTGTATGTGGGGGCCCCGGGACCAGGCAGTGCTCAGTGCTGTTGTACGTGGGGGACCCCAGGACCAGGCAGTGTTCAGTGCTGTGGTATGTGGGGGATCCCAGGACCAGGCAATATTCAGTGCTGTATTACGTGGGGGACCCCGGGACCAGGCAGTGTTCTGTGCTGTGGTACGTGGGGGATCCCGGGACCAGGCAGTGTTCAGTGATGTTGTACGTGGGGGGATCCCAGGACCAGGCAGTGTTCAGTGCTGTGGTACGTGGGGGCGATGAGTCACTCAGGTGGCACCTAACACCACCACTGAGTGTGTCAGAGACGGTGAGGCTGGCACAGACTCAGGCAGGGTGTAGTCACTCTGAGACCCACCAGCTGTGTTGCTGTACACAACCAGTCCCCACTAAGGGACCCCAGAGCGCATCTCTGCTGGTACAGACAGGGCTGCCATCTGTTCTTAGTACATCAGCCAAGTTTCTGGGACCAACTGTAGGAGCCCAGCTTGTCAGAGGGTCCAGGCTGTGGCATCTGGGCGGACAGCGCTGGGCCTGTCGCCCTGATTCCCAGTGCCTCTGGCTGTGTTGATGAACACCCGTTTCCTCACAACCTCTGCTCTGGGCTCTGCCAACACAGGAGTGAAAATGGCAACACATTGTTCCTACAGCGAACAAGACCAAGCGTCTTCTCAACAACATGCACTTTTTCCTTCATGTTCCCAACGGCCCCTTGTAAAGCCACATGTTACTGGCCCCCACTTACTCACAGAGAGGCCTGCTGAAGAACTGGGCTTTCTCTTTCCTAATCCAGAGGGCCGCCAGGCAATGTTTGTGATGCTCCTGGAAGGAGGAGCAGCGCGTGGAAGGCAGTGGGCACAGAGGGGTCCCGTCCCCACTCCACCATGCCTGGGGGAGTCTGAGCATCTGTCTCCCTGCCACCCCACCTCTGGTGAAGTGATCAGGAAAATACACACACACTTCCTATCACACCCTGCACACAGCAGCGCCCCAGAAATGTTAGCTACTAACTAGTCCCTGGCAGAAGTGCTGGCCAGCAGCTGGGTGTGCACACATCTGAATGGGCCTTGTCAGCTGGGGTCCTCCGTCACTCCAGGGGCTCACGCAGAGGCTGCAGGTGGGAGGGGCTCCTCCCGGGGGAGAACATGCTGGACAGTGTCGAGGTTGATTCTCTGACCCTGGTTCCGAAGCTTGCTGAATGCTGGCTGTTGTATTTCAGCTGACAGCAAACTCTGCTTGGAGAGAAGGCCGACTGCACGTTCCTTACCTGCAGGGTTGGCGTCGGTGCACAGGGACGACGGGAGGGGAGAAGGGAACCGCAGGAAGGAGTCCGAGGTCTGAAGAGGAATGCCGTACTGGAGACACAAGAACCAGCGACTGTCACGGTGTGATGAAGTCCTCCATCCCCCCGAGACTGAGGGGCACATGGTATGCCACGGCGCGCTGGGACACAGGGACACACAAACGTGGTCCCTGCCACGGGGAGCTTAGAGCTAACTGGCACGTGTGTGCATGTGACTATGTGGGTATAGATTGCCAGAAGAAAGACCAAATGAATCTGTCCTAGAAAAAGTGCCTCTCGTACACTCCCTGGAGGCAAAGAGGGCTAAAGTTTAGGCTATGAGGAGGGACAGTCCCGGAGGAGGACACCATTGGTAAAGGGTCAGGGTGGCCCCACCTGAGTCTGGGCACAGAGGCCAAAGCAGCAAGCTCCCATGGTTCTGTGGAGCGCATGGCCCAACCGCCCAGACATCACCAGCATGACTCTATTCCTAGGCTCTCTGATACAGATTTGCTCTATGGGAGAACTTCACATAGGCTGGAGGCGGCTGGCATCAGGCTGGTACCAAGTCAGCCCTGACTGGCAGGGCGCTGAAGGAGCAGACTTAACTGATTCATGGCTTACCTCATACCTGGAGGCAGGTGGGGACGCCAGTGTGGCTGTGGAGGAAATGTCTGGTTCTGCATTCGATGGAAAGCCACGAGATGTTTTAACAAATGTATCAAAACTGCTATCATCAGGAACTTCAGGATTAATAAAAGATAGTGCAGGTTTATCTGGGTTTGGGGAAAAAAATCTAATCAGTCTAAAATAGAATGTGTACATTATACATTCCAAATCTAATAATGTGGAGTTTTTAGTAGCTTTGAGTCGAATGTGAAACGACAATGTCTTCTCCATAACCCTGTGAATCTTACTAAATGGGTCAGATCTCCAGTCCCTGCAGCAACGTGGAAGCAGTGGCTTCTAGGACCTACCAGTAAAGAGGCACCATGTGCCAAGTCACCAGCCCTTCTTGAGCCTTGGCACACGGTGCACACATCCCACGGAGAGGTGCCCCAGGGCTCTGGGAATGAAGGCATCCTGCTTCAATCCCACACAGCCACCTCCCAACTCTGCAGAAGAATGCTGTGTACAAAGGGAACAGCGACTGGTCTGTACACAGGGCGGGTGTTGTATCAGCAAGGATGACCACGATCGACCAGGCCAGATACACAGCATGCGCCTCCGGAGTCAGTTATGAGGGAATGGGACAGGTTAAGGGAGTCTGAGAAGGTGACCCAAGGCTGTAACTGCCATCCACCCATCACTGCTGCTGCCTCATGTCACTTCCAGCTCCCAGCGAGCCTGCAGGACGGGCCAGAGCCAGGCCACAGGGTTACCGTGGCTGTCAACCTTGATGGCTGTGGATGACCACATCTTTGTCCAGAGGAAAAAGGTGGCCACAGGTGGGTTCAAACTGCTGACTTCGGGTTAAAGGACAAGTGCTTTAACGACTACAACATTCAGGTTCACTGCATAGATGAGTAAAGCCATAATTGAGTCTCTAAACTGGAATGTCTTGATAATATTTGATACTGATATATACTTTGGACCTATACACCTAATTGAGGTAAATGCTCAGATAAAAATAAAAGTTCTGTTCTCATGCAAATATTCTTAGTAAAAATAAAAGAGAAAAAGGAAATAAAAACCACAGGTGATGTTCAAAGCTGAACCTAACTCTCAACCATTAAACCATGAGGAAACAAAACTTTTTCCAAAAGAGAACAGAAACACTATGTAGAACGATTGTATAAAACATAGTGTACATGAATGAAACAATGTGAATGAAAGATTGTAGAAAACACAATGTACAATGTAAGAGTGAGCCACAGCTTAAATGAATTATTGTATGCAAACCAATAAAAAAAAGAACAAAAACACAAGATCATTTAGAGAAATAAATCTAGATTTCTATTGTGTCTGAATCTATAAACACCTGTTGAATCAAGTGTAAGTTCCCAAAACACAGGTAGAGATGCAGTCACTCTGCAGGCCGCTGCAGCCAGGAACAAATCGCACAGAAGAACCACGGGCATGGCACCAGCTCCTCTATGGTGTGAGGTAAGGCTCATGAACCTGTGCCCCAGATTCCCAAAGTAACACAAACAAGCCCACGCTTTTTGCCTGGTGGATAATCCACACCAGGTGCCCCATGCTCTGTGTGGGTATAGGCAGTGCCTGTGAACTGGCCTCAGAAGATGGACCCTTGACAGACCATAGGAATCACCGGTTTACCACAAATGGGATGGGAAATTTTGCCATAAAGTAACTAAAGAAAAATTTTCCAGAGTTTCATAAAATACATCCATGTCAAATACTTACAGTTTGTAAACTGAATGCAGAAAATAGATGGGTTGATCTTATTAATAAGTGTAAATATTCTCTGAGGTGGATTTGCTGTAAAATTCATCGAATAGATGGCTGCTTTTTGGCTACAGAAGTGGCTGTCACCCCTACAAAGGGAAAATATGCAGATAACACACACAATGTTAGCAAGATCATCAGAAAATGGTCTGATGTTTATTCTGTACTGTGTTAACGGCTACATGGAGGATATTTATGGGGATATGATGCTAGAATTCAATCCACTTTTACTTCATTTATTTGGTGTTAAAATGCTTGATGTTTGACACTTTTTTTCCTCTAATAGGCAAAAAATCAAGACAAAATAAGGAAATTTTTCAGGATACAATTTTAACATAAATGAACCTGGTAAATTCTTAATATTTACATACTCCTATAATACTTTTTTGGAACTTTAGATTGTTTAATATCACATCAGAATGGATCCAGAATTCCAGCAAGTAAAGCTGTCTCCAAAAGTCTGTGAGAGTGAGAAAATGAGAGTCATCTAGAGGTTTCTGGGTTTAAAAGCTGGGCAGATCTCCAACCAATTATAAACTGGACACACACCCATGCCACTGATCAAACAAATGTAACTATGGAAGACACAGAAAAGGGAAATGTTTGGAGGGATAAAAAAAACTATCAACTATCTCTCACAATAAGATATTCACATCCTGAATAATTTCACCTTTCCAAAGACTCCAAAGACTCTTATTCTTGGGGGGAAAAACAACTTTGAAATCTGGATTAAGAGAAGCAGAATTCAGAAAGGTCATTTCTTTACGCTGTCCTCCACAGGGAATAATATCACATTCAGTTATTCCCTTAGAGAATATGAAATGTTGAGAATCTCAAGGGACTTAACAGATAAGCATAAACTAAGATGCCCTCACTACCTGTTTAATCTTTTTTTTTCCTACAGGTACTATCTCCACAACAAAAAGAGTAACTCTGAGGCATACTCTTCACCCCAGGTTATACAGGGAACGAATTCACAGATACAAAAACACGATCTAAATGAAATGCAAAAGCAACTCAATCACAGACAGAGATTCTGTCACCTAAAAGCACCATCCCCACTGTCGCCAAGTTGGTTCCAAGTGCAGGACAGCAGACAGCTTCCCTCAGAGCCACTGGGCTGCGAGGCTTTACCAACGGCTGCCGGGGACGCGAAGTGCCAAGTTCTCGGTATCTCTGTGCACTAACCAATGTGCTGCATCTATTTCCCAGGCTGTAAATCCTAATGGGAGAGGACGCCCTCACCCTTCTCCCATAGAGAAGCTTGTGGATCTGAACTACTGACCCTTCAGCTAGCACCCAACGTGATGCAACCAGGCCTCCGTTAGGGGGAGATCACTCTTTTCTCTACTGCCTGCACCATCAACTGGCTGAATCCAAATATGAAATATATGCTAGTGTTTGGTTTAGAAAAAGGAAAGCATTGAGTTTTTCGGCCTTTGTCCCCAACTACCTTGGACAGATGTCATCAAAACTATGTATGCCATGCTGTCAGGAGGGACCAGTCCTCGGAAAGATTTCATGTCGGGAAAGGTGGAGGGTCAGGGAAGGAGAGGAAGCCCCTCAACCAGAGGACCTGACACAGGGACAGTGAGCCTGGGCTCATGCACACATTGATGGTGAGGGGTCACAGGAGGGCACAGGTTAGCAGCTGCTGTTCCGGGGGCTCTGAGTCGTACACCACTCCAACGTGTGCCATCAACTTACGTCACAGCTGCGACTGAGCAGTCAGAGAAGACGCTGAAATCCACAGGGCTGCAGTCAGGGTCACAGCAGCAGTTGATGTCACACTGTGCCGGGGACAGGTCACACACACACAGAGCAGCGACTGCAGGGGAGAGTGGCAAGGGGCAGACATTACCATCAGTGGGCATCACCCTCGGCACAGCCACCATCGGCGGGCATCCACCGTCGATGGAGCCTCACGGTTGGCAGACAGCCGTCAGCGGGCATCACCACTGACAGGCATCACATCACCATCGACGGAGCCTCGCCCTCAGTGGGCAGCACCGTCGGCACACAGCCACCATCGCTGGGCATCACCATCGACAGAGCCTCGCCGTCGGCGGGCATCACTGTTGGCAGAGAGCCACCAGCAGGGCACAACAATCTACTAGAAACAGATTTCACAAGGCTTCTCTTCTTTTCTCGCGTGGATTTTGGGGGGAAACCTTTGGCATGAATATTGGTCAGAACACCCCTCAATCAGAGCCTCCCCAAAGTGGCTAATCTTCTGACTCCTTGGGAAGCTCTAAGACAGACCCTGACAGAGCTGACAGGAAATAGACATCTGCACTTTCCAGAACTCTCCAGGAGGTGCCAGGATGCCACGTCACCTGCCAGCTCCCAAGAGCCACCAGCTGGAAACGGCAGCTCTCTATATCTGTCCTCCAATGCACACCCATGTTTACTGCAGCTTTGTTCACAATAGCAAGGAGTTGGAAACAACCTAAGTGCCCATCAACAAATGAACAGCTAGAGAAGCTGTGGTATATTCGCACAATGGAATACTATGCTGCATTAAACAACAAGGAACTCATTCAATATTATTCAAAATGGTTGACTCTGGAGAACATTATGCTGAGTGAAATGTCCCAGTCACAAAGGGACAAATATTGCATGGTGCCACTGTTGTAGAATGGGACTGTCCTTGGGGTTGGGGAGAGACTGAGTAAGATGGGTTCAATAATGTATACTGCTCTGAAACAGAGAAGGGAGAAAACTGTTTAAAAGAGATATGTGATTAGATATTTCTGTCATGACAGGAGTCTAGAGCGATGGCTACATGGTGGAGTGGACCTGGGGGAGGGTTTGTAAAATAATGAAAGAATCTTTTCTTTTACTTTTCCAAGAGGGTAATGTCTGGTGGTGGGGGGGAGCCTTGGAAGGGGACAAATCTACAACAATGAATGAATGGAAATCCAAAGCCTCTGTAAATTTTCACTGAAATTAATAACAAATTTAAATTAAAAAAATTAAGTTAGAGTAAGGATGGCAATGGAACCACCTTACCTTTGTAACTTGATTTGTGCCACTATTAGAACCTCTACTCAGAATATTATTGCTTTTCAATTTTTGGCTCGTGCACTTTTAACGTGTTAGTTAAATTTGTATCTTCTAGGTTGCAACACTTCCATGATACATCTGTACAGCTAAGCACAATTGATAACAGTGCATCTAAATTCCAAAATCAATCTCCGTAATAGTCTATGTGTTTCCTACTGACAAGGGGGCCCTTTAGAGTAGTGAGAGAAGACATTCACCCTGAAACCCACAGCGTCCCTTTTCAGCAGGAAGTAGCTAAGAGAATACACCATCCCCTTTTCCTTATGAATCAGGGTGAAGTCTCTCTCAGGGAGGAGTGATAGGGAATGGCAAGGGACACACTGACAAAGGAGATTAATCAGAACTGGCTTTGACAAGCACTGTGGCAATTGGACAATTAAAACAGACATGGGGGGGAAAGAAGAACGAACTGGGGATAAGGGTGGAGAAAACAGTGCAACAATGAATAAATGAAAACCCAAAATCTCTGTAAATGTTCATTAAAACTAATAAAATTTAATTAAAAAAAAATCTGTCCTCCAGAGTCTGACTCCGTCATGGTAACACTCCATCAGGTTTCCGAAGCTTGAAACCCTTAAGGGAGGAGTCCATGTGTCTCCCCCCATAGGCAGGAGGTGAATTTGAACCCCTGAGAACTGGACCACTGCCCTTTTGGTTAGCAATCCAACAGGTAATCCCTATGTTATCAGAGTTCCTCTGCCAAGAAAAGAAACAGCAGACCATGAGAATCACCCACTGAACTCCTTCTTGGGGTGAGGCAGTTCCAGGGCAGGCAGAACACGGAAGCACCAATCTGACCTGTAATGCTTTCTTTTTTCATAAAAGTATTATGAGCAAATATGGCCTCATGTTACGATTTTATCATGCTGGTAGAAAACTCACACAAGCCATCTTACTCAAATGCTTTCATTGTTTCACAATAAAAAAAGAACTGCGTGTCTTCAGGACTGCAGCGCAGCTTCTTGAGTGCAGTGAGATACATTTCGAGCGAAATGCTTAGCACAGGACCTGCTGTTAAATGAGGAGGACACATTACAGAAAGGAGGCTTGAGCTATGACCGCGGGTCAAGTGCTGGGCCGCAACCAAGTCCCAGAGGTCGGGCTGTCAAGACGTGCAACCTCCTTCCGTGGCACTGACAGCCGTGGGAATCCGATGGACTCACTGGAAGGCGCAGAGTGGTCACTCGGCATCCGCTAGAACACAGGAGCATACGCAGACCTCACTGGATCACGCACTGCTCAGACAAGCACATTTTGTCTGTTTTACAGGTTTAAGGTTTGTGGAAACGCTGGCTGGAGTAGTCTGCGCCACTTCCCCCGGGCAGCATGCGCTCAGTCCATGTTTCTGAGTCATGGTTACATCATTTCCATATTTCAAACGTTTCATGATGCTACTGCACTTAGGGAAACGCTGGTGGCTTAGCGGGAAGGAACTCCGCTGCCAACCCGAAAGTGCAGGACTCGAATCCACCAGGTGCTGGGAGCGGAGGGAAGCTGGGTAATCATCTTCCTCTTCATTTCAGCCTCTGAAACCAGCTGACGGTCAGCTACGAGCTGGTTCCGACTCAGTGGTACATAACAACGGCCTTAGTGGTAAGGAGTTAAGCTGCCAATCCCAAGGCACATAGTTCGGATTCACCAGCTGCTGCACAGGGGAAAGATGGACCAGCTCCTTCTGTGCCATTTACTGCCTCGGAACACCCTCTGGAGGATCCGCTTTGGGTCGGATCTGACTCCACGGCACACAACAGTCAACACCGTACACATGAGCTCGGATGGCCACGTCCGCAATAAGGAGGGCTCACCCTGAACAGCTCCCTTCTGGCTGCTCAAGGATCAACCGCTCCACGCGGGGAAAGATGGGCTGACGACTGCAGTCCCTTTGCAGGCGACTTCCAGCCCCAGAAAACCCGCTGGAGGGTCAGCTAGGAGCCAGCTGGTCGGACTCAACAGCACTGAGTTTGAGTCTGGACAGTGCACACTTAACAGACCACTCAAGGCAAAGCAGCTCCCGGCCCTTCCCACTCGGTGATCAGGCGGGGGGCGCAGGCCGGGACGCAGGCGGGAGGC